AGAGTTTGCGTACGATCCAACACCTTCGTCAGTGGAGATAATATGACAATTTTGACTTCGACTGTGTTCCAACAGACTCAAATGTTTTTAATTTCATAAATTCTGGTGGTACGTAATTAATATTGTAATAAAATGTGCATATTTTTTGTGATCATTTCTGTTCCTTCATTGTGAAAATTAATGACGACTCAACTAATTTCGTAATTTGATTTCCCTCAAAGACGTAATCTGTCACTTGATGAATAAAATTTTTCATTTGCACTCTTTTTCGAGGGGGGTGCTCGGGTAAGCGCCCACCCCTAAAAAATCGTGATTTTCTGAGTTGAGGCCCCTGGGCGCTAACGCAGTCGAGTACGGTATATGAGATTACTAGTAGCTTAAATCTTAGCCCGTAGTTGTGTAGCCTGAACATGACTATCAAAGCTAACATTGTTGGCTTACATGGACGTCTAGTGGAGAGCTGCTTCTGATAGAGCAAATATGGCATTAAATTATATGTTCCACAAGTGGTATTGCTACTATTTCTAAGAGATATACTGCGCATAAAGCAAGACAGCTGGTGTCATTACCTACAATCATATTTCATTGCTATTCTCTTAGGTCTGTGAAAATGGTTGTGCGGCTATTGCTGCCATTTCACTGAGGAACCCTGCCAACTGTAGAGTGGTCATACAGTCAGGTGGAGCACCTATCATAGTACAAGTCATGAAGATTCATAGAGATGTGGAAACAGTTCAGGTAAGTTCATCACTCTAGCTGGTCATGTGTATGATTATGCACACTATTCAATTTACTGAATTCACCCTTTTTATCTAGCTACCTTTGTGTATAGTGTTAATATCCACTTCGTAATAAACCATTTTTTGTTAACTGCAAGAACCTGCGTTAAGTATGAAATCAAATGTAAATACAAGAGTCTTCAAAAAATGGCATGGGTCTTCACAAATGCAGTATATTTTTAACATTGTACTATACAAATTTGATGACTGTCAATTATGTTGAAATATGAGTATCTCAATAACATCTAAAACATTGTACTATAAAAAACAAAATGTCCCATTGAACACCCTTGTACCACAGACTTTTGCATACCGGTAATGCACTAGAGTGGTGTTGAGCCTATCACACTCTGTTTAACTGGACAGCCCAACCCATCTCAAGAAGTTTTCTGGATGGGGGGGGGGGGGGGGGCATGATATTCATCAAAGAACTTATTGAGACGAGTCGGGCATCAGATGTGTGCGAGTTTGGCCTACCATCCTCAGTTAGCTGATTAGCTTTCAACTACACTTACATGTACCAGTTCATAAATGAAGCTTCAAAATCCTGGTTATATACTTCACCCTTTAAATTAATACAGTTTGTTTGTCTGAAATATGTTTCCCTGTGTTATTTGCCACCTTTATCATAATAATCATAATAATCAAAGTGAAATCAAAGATCTTGGTTGACGAATCTGCCAATTCATAATGTCTTGCCTTGGAATTGACATCATTGGGGAAATAAAGTACCGGGTATGCCCATTTTGGTAGAGGCAATAATTGTTGCGCTGACAATTTCACCACATACACTGATTAGCAGCTATCAAAACAGTAGTGCAAATCCATTTATCACCATCTAGATACGTACAATTCTAAACCAATTACTAAATCATGTATTCCATTCACAGAAAAATAAGTCATGTTATGGGAAGATTCTTATTTTTTAAATGTTTATTTTTAGGCAAATTTGTGGGTGCCATCCAATTTGTTTTGACATGCAATCTTGATTGATCCAATCACAGTATAGAGGGACTGTGATCCAATATTGGAAACATACTGCTAATTTGTCCAAGGTAGTATGTTCTGTACATACATGCCTTTAAAATAACTTCTTGGTCATGCCAGGACTGGTTTTATTCAAATTTGGTACAAAGATAATATGTAAAACATATTCCCTTTAATTTGTTTGAAATGAGTGACATTTCACCAATTGGTGGCTATTTTTTCCCCATAAATGCAGGAAAACACAAATGCCAATAGCCAACATGATGCGTTACTGATACACATCATTTTGTTTTGTTTTGTTTTCTTCCAGTTTCAATCAGGATGTATAGTAAGAAAAGAGTCTTCTTTCTTACACGTTTTGTTTTTTTTTTTTCTACAGAAGCAGGGTTGCATGGCTGTTCGTAATATTATTGCACGATCAAGAGAATACTGTGATCAATTTCTGGAGTTAGGAGTTGAGGCGGTGATTAATGAGGCTCGTACTAGACATAGTGGTCTTGAGGATGAAGCCAAAGCCGCTCTAAGAGACCTTGGCTGTAAAGTTGAACTTAAAGAATTATGGAAAGGAGTGAACACTCCTCTTAGACAGTGAAGTCACTGTAAACTATTCAACTTTTGTCAACGTAAAATTTTCAAAATTTAAAAGCTGCGTTTTCATTTTTATGTTTCATATCTTTCATTCTTTAATACTGAACCAAAATTAATTCTGTGGCACCAAAGCAGTAAACACATGTTAATGTATGATAATACTATGAATGAAAATGAATTTCTGGTCTACTAAAAATTTTCCAGCTGGTATTTGCAAATGCAAAGCATGCTCATCTTAACATTCTATCCTATGTGTGTCCATTTGATACCACGTTTTAATGTATTACCATACATAGATTGAAAAATATGACCCCCCCCCCCCAATGAAATGTTCACTGTAAAAAAATACAAATCTTGTTGAGCATACATAATCAAGTGTTGTCTAGTTGAAGCTATTTATTTTGTGATACTTATCTTTGTATATGTTTTGTATTTTTTTCTTACAAAGCGTATTCAAATTACCTAATTTGTCAATGGAAACTTGATGTTGCACTTATTTCTTTCCTTGCCCGTATCATCAAAGATGGAAGGGAAAGGTATATTAAGGGAAAAATATCTGTCCGGCGTTGTACTCAAAAATATGTATTCTGTATTTGACAAACAGTTCATTTGACGAATGAAAATCAAAATTCACAGGGAATTTTTTTCAGCTTTTAGAACAGAATGATAGAATCAGAGAGTGAATCATTAATTTTTGACAGAAACCTGTACATCTTGCATGTTTTATGAATCTATTCACGTCTGTTTTTATAATAAAATTTCTGAATTACTTTGAATAAAGCTGGAAATTATGTCCCTTAAAATAATTAAACAAATTGGGCACCAATTTTTGTAAGATATTTACATCAATCAAGAACATTCGGAAGATTGCTTTCCTGCTGTTGTTTCAATCCCAAAACTTGTTTGTATTCAAAATGAATTATGACAATGCATATTCATATTGAAACATACTATGATAAAGGAATAATATTATATAACAAAGGGCAAGGCCACCAGAGTTCAACTGTTTTGATTTAGGGAAGAAACCATCACTGCAGTCATGTATATCACAAGATATTGCACAATTCATAACAAACATGTATGTACAAGGCACATATTTTTGCCATTTTAGTTGACAGTGTTTTATGCTCATTATACATCTACGACTTGCATAATTAAAAACTCACTCTATTCACCAATCAGAATGACTTGCTCAGCGAATTGGAATGTTAGTACAATATAATATATATGAATTCCAATTCCAATGACTCAGAGTAATTATCTATTGTTTATTTTACCACTGTCATTTGTTGTTGATCTTCTCGATCAACGTATTTGATATAATAACAGATGATTTCAGAGTGATTTCTGTTAAATAATGTTACCCAGTCTATGCCATATCTACAACACAGAAGTGCTAAAGTGAGGGAGGGCAAATTATTTGGAAATACTGTGTTTCAGTAGAATTCCATCAATACCTGCTTATAAAACATTAATAAACCAATATATACAAGTAAAAAGGCACAGAAAATATTATGTTGCTTGGACATGCACCACTGTAAATGTATCGCAATGGGCTCTAAAACAGCACAAACTCAACTTTGAGGTAATTTTACAGCAACACACCTCGGAATCGGAACGTGGTTTGAACTCACTGTGCGGACCATGCCCTGTATAATAGCATGGTTAGTGGGATTACCATCCGCTCGACTGGAACACGATCCAACACATTGAAAAGCATTAAAGGTTTTTGGAAAAATAACCCAAGCGCTCCATCCAATTTTCTCAAAGTCTACCATTAGATCAGATTTTTCACATGGATATGCAGGTCTGTCAACCAGCTTATTATTTTTCTTGCCATTTCCTCTCTTTTTCTGTCGTTTTCCACTGGATTCGTCAGGAGCTCGTATGACACGATTAAGATGAAATATAATTTTTTCCTGGCGATATAGTTTCTTGTCAGATTTCTTGTACTTGTTCTGTGTCTGTGTGAATGTAACCAGT